AAATGTCCTATTTCACCTCCTCTAATTCCCCTCTAACCTTTTTTCTACCTTGCTTTTTTCACCTTTCTTGCCTCGGACATTACACTTTTAATAACTCTGGTACGTCCCACTGTCAGTCTCTTGATGCTCAGATTGACCAGGCTAAAGAATCCTTAAAATCTGAAAGTTCCCAAAGTCCTAATAAAGATGCTTTAAATGCCCAAATTAAGCAGCATGAAGCCTCTAAAAAAGAGTGCGAAAAATATCATTCCCTTTCTGAGTCTGACAGGACTGCCCAACTTAAGGACATCCGCTCCAGGATGGTGTCTCTTGCTGAGCTCAGTGGGAAGCTTGGCCAATTTATTGGCAATTCTGACGCTGTTACTGACGCCATTAAAAATGGTATTGACAGCATTATTAACAGTGATGAAGAGTTCAAAAGCCTTAAAAACTCTCAGTCTTCGCCTGCGCATTCTCCCACTTCCGTGTCTGCTGTGTCTATAGATGATGCTGAGCTTACTCAGCAAATTAGGCATTATGAAGAGCAAATAAAGCTTCTTGAAGAACGTCAAAATTCCCCGAATTCTCCCCTCTCCTCTGAAGATTCTCGCCTTTTATCCTCTCATCAGTCCAAGTTGGATGCTCTTCAGAGGCTGAAGAGCCTTAATGAGTCTTTTGAATCTCTTAAAAGTCCACAAGATAAACCTTGTGAAACATTGTTAAATAACCTGTGCTCCGGCCTGGAGAAGTTCCTTGGTTACCAAGAAACTTCCAAAGGCTACGACGGCACTGGCATCGTGTACTCGGACCTTGACAGGCTGTGCGACGGGGTGATGTCTTTCCTTCATGGTGTTTTACATAGCATTAAACCTAAATTAGGCTTACATAAAGACACTTTAGATAGCGCACTTAAGTCACTTAACAACAAAAATGATAATGGTATTGCTAAATACAGGACGGCGATAGCCGCGGTGGTTAAGGGGGTACATGAATATAATGAGAAAGTGGCAGCGTCGAATGAGAGTGTGAAAAGTGTCATCACTGATCTACATAAATATACACATAGTGATAGTAAGTTACGTGTATTTCTTAATAATTTGCAGACTGCGCATAATCGAAGGGACACGGGATACCAGTTGGCCAAGGCTCAGGTGGAAGAGAAACTTCAAGAATGCCAAGAGCAAGCAAAAAAATTCACAGATAGCTTAGACACTGATAACACTAAAAACACACTTAATGACTCAATTAACGACTTGAATGATAATTTGCGTGTCACACTTAGCCATGTGCGTAGCACTGTAGCGTACGAAGCGAAGCGGCTTGGGGAGGTGAAGGAGGCAAAAGCTGCGGAGTTTAGTGATACGAAGGAAAAGATCACGGCGACTTTAAAATCCATGAAAGTTAGCGTCGATTGTAAAATTGATGCGCAGATTAAGGAGCTGATTAGCAAGTTGAGGGAGAGGGTGAATGCAATTTTGAAGGAACTCAACAAGATTAATAAGGATTTGATTCAGTACGTTAACGATTTGTATGACTGGCTAATCGCAGCGGAAAAGATTTTGGAGAACGCTCTGAGGAATGTTCAAACAATATTAAATGAACTTGACGGCGACCCGAGTAGGAAGCCTAGACGGGTCGAGGAGGTAGTTGAGAATATTAGAATGAATGCTCTGTTGCTTTACGAAGCCGCAGCCGCGGCGAGGAAACAGGTAACCGATTTGGTTAAAAACACAAAAGATCAGGAAGTGACGAAATTAGACGCTTGGAAGCAGGCTGCAACCAGCGTGATAGAGAAGGCGAATAAAAAGTGCATTCAAGTTTTGGAGAGAGTGGATGACAACTCTATGAGGGGTGGGCAGGATAGCATTAAACGGTATGCTAACAGATTAAAGCAAAAAGGGCTTGACCTTCTGAAGGCGGCGAATGCAGCAAAAGAGGCTGTAAAGCAGAAGGTGGACGAGGCACTGAAGGCTGTTGTGGAAATGGACGGAGATCTCAAGAGGGATTTGAAGAGTGTGAAAGATAAGATTAAGGATGGGATAGGGAGTGTGATCGAGCAGTTGGAAGTTGAGAGACTGGATGAGAAAGTGAAGAGTGATTTGCAGAGTTTGAAGGGGAATATTTTGAAGCTTAACCAGCAGGTTGATACTAGTAATGTCGACAGTGGCATTGTAAGTGGTCAATTGAAAGAGCTTAAAAGTAAGAAGGATGACTTGGATAAGGAACATATTAACAAAATTACGAAGGCGTCGGGTGAGCTTGAAGTTAATTTTAAGACGCATATCCAGAGTCCGCTTAACGAAAAAGTCAGTGAAGTTGACTCGGCGATTGGGAAGCTTGGCGGGAAGTTTGAAGCCAAGCAGAATCTTAATGATATTTTCGGGTATATTAAAGGAAAGGTTGGGGAGATTAAGGGGACGGAAGGCACGGGAACAGGTTGGCAAATTGATGGTGCCACAGGTCTGACGGGGATCGAGAAGGGATTGGAGCATTATTTTAATTTTTTCCAAGGTCAATTCGACAAAGCAGTCGGCGGTTGGATCGATGATATTCTTGCTCATAACGGCCTGGTTAAGAGACTGCTTGGGTGGCAGGGTAAGGGGGAAAATGAGCTTGAGCAGGAGCTGAAAAACAGTGGTCTCGGAGGCTTAATTAGGGAAGCGCTGGAAGAACAAATTAAGGCAGCGCAAGCAGCGTTCACAAGTGGACAACCACCTGCCACCGGCATTATAGGAAAAATCGCACAGGTCAAGCAGGCCTGCGAACTGTTTGCCCGGAGGCTTGACGACGAATTGAAGAAGGATCCGGAGAGTTATGGCGTTTTACATTTGGCCTTGAAGGCTAAGGAGGCGTTGAAAGGTGAGAGATTACAAAGCACAAAAAGCAACTTACAAGCCGCATTAAGAGCCGCACAATGCCGCTGCGGAGGCTGCAGTGGCGGTAAGTGTCTAGACTGCAATAAAGCAGACTGCAACCTCACGCAAGCCGTCGCCACCACCCTCGTTGCCGTGTCCTCGGTGAGCAGGCAAGTAGGCAAGGAGCTCAATTCGGTGTTACTCGGAGATGGGACCGGAAAGATAAATATCGCAGACCTGTTGGATAAAGCCAAAAAGGCAACTAAGCAGCTTCACGGTCAGCTTACCCAGGCGACTAACCCCGTTGGCACCCCCAAGGAAAGCCCCGCCAAAGCCGTGGACAGTAAGTTGAAGGAAGTGAGAGAATTCGTTGAAAAGCAGCTTGACACTAAATTTACTGATGTCAAGAAAGAGCTTCAAGAAGCAGTCGACAAGCTTGACAGTGAAGTTAACGCTTTCAACTCCACCGCCGAAGTACAGATCAAGGCTGCGGCCAGCACGGCGATTGGCGAAGCCGTTAAACAGTTTGAGGTGAACGATAAGGTTCCGACTGAGATTAGCGTGGAGAAAACGATGAATACATTCAGCCGTGTCTACAATGATATCAAAAGTAAGCTCCCAGAGGAACTTAAGAAGCAAGTTGATGAGCACATTGGGAAGGATTATGGGATAGGTCTTCCGCCATTCTTTACATTAGATAAAGTTCTCATGACTAATACAAATTTTAATCTTTATGATAAGCACGTTAAACAAGAAAAGATTAGAACGCTTTTATATGGTAAGTTAAGGGGTGTCGCAGACGAAGGCCAACTTCCAGTGGCGATCGGGGACATCAAGACTGTGGGCCTGAAAGAGCTTAACATCATCGATCCAAATCACAGTGGCCATGATAAAATTGACCAAAATACCTTCACCATTCCGTTCGCCGAAATTGAAAAAGAGCTCAAAGCCATCTCCTGGTACGTCGACAGCGGCAACAATAAGCAGTGGCCGACTGAGCTGGGGAAGCAACCGACCGACACCGATGGCATCAGACAGCACTTGACAAATCTGACAACTGGGCTCGGCAGTGAAGCAAGTTGGGCGCGCACCTCCAAAGGCCTCATGAAGATCAAGCAGGAAATCACCGACGCGCTCGAAGGGATTAAGACCAAGGTGGAGCAGGATCTTGCCGATATCGAAACCTTTAACGACCACGTAATGGTGAAGTTCGGCGAATTTGGCAACAACCTCGCCAGCTTATGCTACGAAATCAAGAACGCCGCCGGAGATGGAGAAGGCGTCAAGGGACGATTGCAGGAGCTGAAGGACAAGTATTTTAAGCAAGCTGCAGATTACTCTAAAGAGGCTCGCGACAGCATCAGAAGAATTCACTGTGATCTGAGCACTCTTCAAAAGAACCTTGCAGATGGCCCCCTCAAGAACGCCGCAGAATTCATCACATTCTGCTCCGAGGCCGAAAAACACTTCACAAAACTGTTGAAAGAGGAAATCGAGAGGGACGTCCAAAACGCGAAGGATGATCTCATCGTCCACGCCCGCAAACAGTACGTCGAAGCAATAAAAGGCTTGTTAACGAAATTCGCCGAGAAAGTTCAGAGCGAATTAAAAGATCTGCCCGAAGCAATAAATTATGATTTAACGATAGGTCATAAGGGTCTGATGAAAAAACTCAGCGATGAGTTTGTTGACGGAGTAAATGATCTTTTCCCTAAATCATCCGTTCGCTCCCATCGGACCACGGAGCAGAAGCTCCACGAGCTGGTCACGAAAGTAAGAGACAGCTTTACAAAATTCTTCGTATCATTTACATTTCAGGATGAAATCATCGACATGCGCGAAGATCTGGGGAACGTCATTGACTCTCTTGATTCCCTTCTTTCCCAGCTTGTATCCGCTCAGCACTTCAGTGATCTCGTCACTAGCAAGAGGGAAGCTTTTGAAAAATCCCTTCATGAGTTCTATCCCGATACCATGGATGACGCACGGAAGAGACTGTTAACGCCTCTAAAGCATGGGTTCGAGGCGTTTGTGAAGGAGCTTGCAAAACAGTATCTCTCTGTGTACTGCCGACAGGACTGGGATGAGGAGGAAAAGGATAAATACGCCAAAGTATGCCTTACAGTCTTTTACACCCTAAACTCCACCTTGCAAAAATTGGAGCAGAATTGCGGCAGTAATTGGCGTGGAGACAGTGTTACTAAATCCACAAAGCTCGGACAGTTCCTGGCCGACCAAGGTTACGATGTCTCAAAGTCCGCGTCGGAACAAAATGGTGAATTAAATAAAAACCTTGTCGGTCGAGAGATTAAGACTTTCCTTGTCGGCTCCGACAATAAACACGTCTACAAAGCCGATGGAACTATAAGCACACTGACAACGCTGTACGATTATCTTGAAACATATAATCACGCTTGCCACCTCCGCCACGTAGACGGCGCGAAAGCGCCACTCAGTGTATTCCATATGCTCTCTTGGCTCGCTGGTCTTACATATAGTCCCATGCTCGGCGCAATGTATGACCGCTTCATATCCTTGTTTGATAAACCAACAGAATACAAAGCGCACAGCCACTCTGCCAGTTATACACTAGATGCATATCCGTCGACTATCACTGCCGAACAAATGGAAACGTCCCTGTATGATATTATGTCACAGTCCCATGCCGTCCTCACTTCCATCCTGGGCCATGGCCATGCGGGTGGCATTTATGCGTGTGATCATTTGAACAACAGCAATAACCTCTTGTATCCAAGTAGCCCAGGTGCCTGTTTTGACTTGTTAGCTGAAATATTGCAGAGACTCAGCCAGCAACTCTGCTTCCTATACATCCAGTGTACGTATCCGATGGAGCTGGGCGGGTGGTCCGACTGCTCATACGGCCGCAATGTATCCGGCTATCACTGGCAGTGTAACACTACCCAATGTCCTAACCAATCGGGCAACCAAAGTACTAACCAACGCACTGACCAAAGCGGTAACCTAAGTGCTAACCTAGCACCTAACCAAACGTGTGACCAACACCCTAGGTGCGGCGTTAATTCACCTTTACAGTCCTACTTAGAAGACGGGTTGCCTGGGTTTATGCCACATCCATTCAGCAAAACCGGTTGCCAAATTTCCTGTCAGATGCCTAACCACACTGGTAAACCATGTAAAACGCCGATGGGCTTTGCCGATATTGAGACAGTGGCATCGCATATAAAAACTGGTCAGCATTTAAAAGATGCTCTTGCTAATTTCTGTGGCACAAAAACATCTTCGCTTAACAGCTTGTGTCGTATGTTGAATTGTATCTTTCCTAGTGCACCAAAAACGCTTGCTGATATGTTCTGGTTCTACTATAGTTTTCTCAATGAGTGGGATGGCAAGGGTAGCAGTCATGTGAAACGTAACAAACACAGGGAAACAGCTTACAGAAATGCCGTACAAAATGCAAATTTCGGAAATCCAGATACTGATTTGGACATCACTTCCATGTTCAGCAGCAGTGCTCACGGCTCCAGTAATGGTGCGCCGCATCTCCTCGGTGATCTCTACTCTCTGCTAAAGTGCACGTATAAGAGAACAAACGATCCTGCTCACCCCTGCGGTTCATATATCAAACCTCTATGTCGTGACACCTGCGGCACGTTTGTCGATAAATATGCTGAGAAGCATCTTTCGACGGTTGTGTATCAGACAGAATCATTCTACGATTTGCTGAAGCAGTTGTATGAGGAGTGCAATAATATGTGTGGTAAGAAAGAAACAAAGTGCTATGCAAAGAGCTGTGCAAATGGCTGCGCAAAGAAGCAGTCAAATGGCAAACCAAACGACAAAATTCACGATGCTTCATGTAGTTCAATTGTTAGCTGCAAGACAATGCTTCCCACCTTATACAGATATGGATTTGTATTTGGGGATGCAGAAGCACTGAACACCATGGGCACCAAAAGAACGTGCGCAGATTTCTGCAGAGCGTTAGAAAATATCGTAAAAGAAGGCAATGCCCTGTATATGATTGTTTATAAGACAATTCCGGAATTCTTATTCAAAATCCGCGAACCCTTCATATGGACTCTGTTAGCCCTCTGGTCGCTCTCGCTCCTGTACCTGCTGCACATCGCCGTCGTCCGCCTCGACGTGCTGAGGATACGCTCACACCTGAGATCACCCGCAAGCCACCGCATCGCCGCGCAGTCCCTCCTCGCCGCCGCACGCGTCAAGGCACTCGCCAACGTCAAGTACTTCTCACCATAATCGTGCCTTCACCCACTCACCCACCCACTCACCCACTCACCCACCCACTCAACCACTCACTCAACCACTCACTCAACCACCCACCCACTCACTCAACCACCCACATACTCACTCACTCACCTCCCTCCTTCACTGGTCGCTTCGCTCCCTCCTCCCTCCTTCCATCACCTCCTCCGTCGGCGTCCTTCACCCAAATCCTCATTTTCCACTTTCCCCCTCCACCTCCGAAATCGCCCTACCTCCACCCATCTTCCCCCTTCATCGCCCTCTCTCGCCCCTTCACCTCCCTCACCCTGTCCACCCACCTCCCTCGCTGCCTCCTTGACCTAAAATCGCCTTTCTCAAAAAATTCTAAAATTCTCCAAAAGTGTCCATTTCACCTCCTCTAATCGCCTTTCAACCTTTTTTCCCACTTTCTTCTCTCACCTCTTTTGACCTCCCTCCTCGGCCTCCTTCGTCGGCCTCCATCGACTGGCTGATCCAGATTAAGCATGGGAATGGTCCGGGTGATCAAGGTCTTGAGCCTTTGGCTGATGCTTTGAAAAAGTTGATTGGTGATGCAATTAAAAATGCTACAACTTCCCTTCAACACAAATCCGACAAGCTCTCTTGCTCCCCAAATCCACATGATCCCAACTCCTACTGTAGACAGCTTGATGAGCAGATTAAGTCCACCCAGCAAAAACTTAATGACGCTAAAAACTCTAATACATCTCTAATATCCTCTTTAGAATCACAAATTAAGCTGTTACAATCCAACAAAGATGACTGCACTAAGTCCCATTACATGGACAAGCAGCGTGCGTCCTCCCTTGAGGGGGAAGTGCAGCATGGCATAGATGTTATTGTGAAGCTTACACAGTTTAGTGGCTCTGAAAAGAGCATTGAAACACTAATTGATAATGAAATTAAGAGGCTTGAAAAGCAGCATAAAGACTGTGAAAAGTCTCCGCAGTCTCCTGACTGTGCTCAGCATAAAAAGCTTGAGGAGCTTCAGAAGAAACGTGATGAAATTAGTCAGCATAATAACAATAGTAATTGTGAAACATTATTAAATAACCTTTGCACAGGCCTCGAAAATTTTCTCGGCTACGATAATGGTAATTACACCGGAGAAGGGATTGTGTACTCGGACCTTGACAGGCTGTGCGACGGGGTGATGGCGTTCTTGCATTCCGTGCTTAAAGATGTCCACGCAAAACAGCCATACAATGTTGGTAAAAATGTATTACGTGATGATGTTTTGAGTCATCTTAGTAGTAATTTGTGTAAAGGCCATAATGGTTTTAAGAGAGTCATTGAGAAGGTGGCGCAGGGTGTCGGGGGGTATAATGCTTTGGTGAGGGATTCAAATGAGAAAGTCTCTGCTCCTATAATCAAGCTTCAAGAGGAGATGGAGACGCTGAAAAAAGAGGTGAGTGATGTGTTTAATGATAATGCTCTTGCAGGTGACCCGGAGCTCAAGACGGCGGTGAGCAAGGCTGACGAGACGGTGCATCAGGGCATTGAGCATGCCACTAACTTCACAAATAGCATAACATCTAGACACATTAATATAATGAATTTGAACTCCACATTAGCTGATAGCGTTATACGTGCGTTGAACACTGTGAAACATGAGAACAGTAGACTCTATGACTTGTCCACCAAGGAGTGGAAAGACATGGTCAGTATGAGAGATGAAATAGAGAATGTGTTTGCATATCTTAAAAGTACGGTCAATGAAAGAATTACTAACGAAGTAACATGGCTAGTTGACCATGTGAAAGAAAAGGTAAATGATATTCTGAAATTGCTCCAAAAGATCAATACGGAACTGGAGCCCTGCGTTACGGCTCTGGTGATGTGGATAGAAGAAGCCCATAAAGATATTCACAAAACTCAGCAAGAGGCTCTACAAGTTTTTAACCAGGTGAACGGCGGTAAAGGGAGTAGGAAACATGACGTTGAAAAGGCTGCAGAAAAGTTGAGGCTTAAGGGTGAAGAGCTTTACTGGATTTTTGACGTCGCAAAAGCTGATGTGAGTAGATTGGTTGGTGAAGCAAATGAGAAAGTTGGGGAGTTGGACACCTATCTTCGGACTGGGTTATACACTGTGAAGACGCAAATTAATGACGGGATGAAACAATTTGTCCAGGGGTACGTCAAGCAAGTTCAGGGTGCGGTTGGAGGGATTAAAAGGGGAGTTCAAAAAAATGGTGATGCAGGCGCCATAAATAAGGAAAGTATAGAATTTAAATGGGAGGAGCTCCAAAAAGAGCTTCAGCATGTTGTTGGAGAGATCAAGGGTGATGGAAATAAGGGTTACAATGGCCTTCAAGGAATTGTTGATGCCGTAGGTAAGTATGTGACAACATTCGACAAGGATACCTTTGGGAGAACTGTGCAGCGATGGATTGGGGACATTTTGGGCAAAGAACCGGTTAAGGGATTGCTGAATTTTTATGCCAGCACCAAGCACGATCTAGTAAAAACACATATAAGTAGCAGAATAAAAACGGATATCATCCAAACCATTAACGAGGTCCCGAAGATCACCACTAACAATTTAAAATCTACACTACAAAGCGTCTCAAGCTTTCTTGCTAATTTTGCCCAGGAAATCGATAAAAGGCTAGTTAAAAGTGCCCTCACAAATCTTGCGCAGGATATTCATTCCGAGTTGAAGGCAAAAGACCCTCAAGTGTTCACGGACGGAAAAAATATTTATTTTCAATCTCCTCTCCAAGGCATTTTATCTCTGCTCTCTATAAGAGCGAATCAAGTGGCGTCACAACTTGAGAAATTTATGAACACGTCCAATATTGCCAACGTGGATGCGGCCTTAAGTAAAGCCACGCAAATTGGCATGAGTATTTACGATGCATCACAACCAGAGGGATTGATCGGCAAGGCCCTAGCCACGGTGAAGCAACATATTAGCGAGTTCGAGAAGAGTCTCACTACGGCGCTTGAAGATTCGAAGGGCCCCGCCACCTCTACAATCTTCAACCCCTACATCACTGTCAACCCTAACACAGTTCAGCTGAGCCACAATGTCCAAGCGACGATTGCTGATATTTTGGAACAGAAGATGCCGGATGCGGAGAGGATTGCACAGAATAAAATCGACTTGACTTCTACACTTGATAGTTATAAACAGAAAGAAACGGCGCTCACCGGCGCAATTAAGAACATATTAACGTCTGCATTCGATGCATATAATAACAAAGTTTACGATAAATACGTCAAAAGCCAAGCCAACGGCAATTTTAAAGTCGAGGAAGGGGAGTTATACAAACTGTCGGGCAATATCATTACTAATCTCAACGCTCTCACACAAGCCATTTCAGAAACAAGTAGCCTTATCAACGGGCAGCTATACAACTTGAGAAACGAGAACATTGATAAAATCTTGGCGAATATTAAGAACAAAATTAATTGTTTGCAAACCACTGAGTTAAAGAAAGCTATAAGAGATGCAGACCAATTTTTACGAGACGCCGACATAATGCGTAACCATACCATCAAATCCCTCACCAATTACGTCGACTCTCAAGTCTCCTCCGCCATCTCCACCCTCACCACCGCCGCCCGCCGCAACTACGTCACCTCCGTCAAGCAGCTGCTCCAGGCCTTCGCCGCGAAGGTCACGCAGGAGCTGCAGGAGTTGCCCAAAGAAATATATAAGGACCAGTATAAGGGCTTTAAAGGCTTCATGAGGTCTATAGGCGAACATATTAACACGCTTACAATTGTTAAGGACGAAAAAGAAGTCCAGCATTTATCCTCCGGTTTCCACAGTTTTTTCGCGAATGTTAACAGCTATGTCGACGACGAAATTAGAAGGGCACATAAAGAAAACAACGATAAGAAAAACGCAAATATATCAAACGATGAAAATCTGTATACAAAGAAAATTGACAATGTTTATGCCGCTTTTGGCAAGTTGCTTCAGCACATCACCGATACGAATAAATACGACTACAAAGTGCCCCAAATGCTTGACGATCTGGAATCAGCGACATGTCATCTCAAGCCGGAATCCTTCGACAATCCGAACACGCCAATAATGGACGGTGTTCATAAAGGCCTTCACGATTTTGCCAATGAGCTCAAGAAAGCGTGCATCAGTAACTACGACGGCGCGGATCCAATTAAGGTGTGGTTGGAAAAAGATCCTAAAAGGGAAACATCTACGGATCAAGATGTGCCTGAAAATATGATCGTGACAGCTGATGGAAAGAATTGCGCAAAAGTATTTTTGAGCGTTCTCGAAATACTGAGCTACGATCTTAAATATTTGAACAATGAGTGCGAGAAGGATTGGAAAGACAAGAAACTCTGTCTAATTCACAACGATACAGACAATCCACTTGGTTTGTTCTTACAGCGTTGCGGTTACAAAATCGCCGAAAACCAAAACTCCAAGGAGGGCGAATCGCAGTGTAAAACTAGTGTGACCGGTGAAATAATTTTCCAGAAGATTTCGGCAACCACGGCGTCATCCTCAGTCACATCTCCTAGCCCTCCCCTCATGGGTTTCCTAGATACACTTGTTGAACATCTTAAACAGTACTATCGTGTTGGCCACTTAGCCACTATAGATTCCAACAGGCAACCGTCTTCCGTGTTCGAGATGCTTAAATGGTGTAGCGGCCTGGAGTATAACTCTGTCTATAGCCCACTTAAAAATCACATATTGAAGTTGTTCTCAAAACCCGAGAATGTGGATGTCCCGAAACCATCCGACTACATTCTCAATGCATATCCATCAGGCTTCTCGGCCCAGAATATATATGATGCGCTTGACCGTGTATGTTCGAAATCATATGTCGTCCTTAGCGCCATTCTCGGCCACGGTCACGCCGACGGTGTATACGCCGTGGACTTCAACACTAACGAACAGAAATTCTCGTACCCTAGCAGTCCCGCTAAATGCTTCGACTTATTGGTTGAATTTTCTTTAAGATTGTATCATCAACTGTCATTCTTGCATACTCAGTGCACACGTACATACGGCGCCATTAGTTGGCGTGAGTGTTACTACGGTCAGCAGGTGGGCGGTTCCTCATGGAACTGCAACACTATGCAATGCTCTAAGCAAGATTGTCCTCAAAAGGGCAACCAACAGGCTGACCAAATGTGTAACCAAAAGGGTGTTCAAACATGTGACCAGCATCCTAAGTGCGGGCTTAAGTCTCCGCTTCAGTCTTTCCTAGAAGATGGGTTGCAAGGCTTCCTGCCGCACCATTTTTCAAAGGTTGGATGTGGAGTAGAATGTTCCCTTGGAAAACACAGGGGATTACCATGCAAAACGCCCATGGGCTTCGCAGACCTCAGTGTAGCTGCATCTCATACGAAGACAGGTGCGCACATTGCAGAGATTCTTCAAGAATTTTGTGGCCAGCCTAATACGCCTCTTGCGTCACTCTGCGCTCAACTTACATGCTTACTACAACGAACGCCGCAGACACTTGATGACATGTTCTCGTTCTACTACCATCTCCTAAAGGACTGGAATGGAAATAACCACAAACGTAGTATGCATAAGAAGTATGCATTTGAGAACGCCGTCACCGCGGCATACTTCGGCACAAAATACCAAGCTTTGGACATTAATCCAATGTTCAATAACACTGAACACTCAGATGGTAATCATAACAAAGGTGACCTGTTCAGTCTCTACACTTGCTACAGTGGAGAGTCGTCATCGATCACCTGTGGTCGCTACCTACAGCCTATGGGCTTAAACACGTGGTATATGTTCTCAAATAAGAATGGTGGCAAATATCTGTCGTGGATAGTTTATATGACAGAGACATTCTATGATTTACTTAAGAAACTATATGAAGAGTGCTGTAACAACTGCACTAAAGCAGGCACCAGATGCCATGGTAAACTCTGTGTCAAGGAGTGCAAAGTAAACTCATTTTATGAATCTCAAAAATCTACGACCGAGAAAACGAAGCCTATTCAACCATCGACAGCAAAACATAAATCTGACTGCAAATCCATCGCAGAATGCCCCTTCACTCGGCCGACGTTGTCCAAGTATGGTTTTACCCTGCACAGCGCATACAACCTCAGCGGTGCAAACGGAACAGTCTATAAGCGCACATGTCAGGATTTCTGCAAGACTCTAGGGAGAGTAATTAGCGATGTAAAAGCGGCGAATGATGTTCTCGCCAAGCTCATACATGAGACAATTCCAGAATTCCTCTGGAAAATCAGGGAACCCTTCTCCCTGACATTGCTAGCCCTCTGGTCGCTGTCGCTCCTGTACCTGCTGCACATAACCGTCGTCCGCCTCGACGTGCTGAGGATACGCTCCCACCTGAGATCACCCTCAAGCCACCGCATCGCCGCGCAGTCCCTCCTCGCCGCCGCACGCGTCAAGGCACTCGCCAACGTCAAGTACTTCTCACCATAATCGTGCCTTCACGTGTGATCTGTGTATCACTCACCCACTCACATACTCACTCAACCACTCAACCACTCACCCACTCAACCACCCACTCACCCATCACACACTCGCCCATCGACTCACCGCCACTCACCACCCCCATCACCAATCAACACTCAACCATCAATGCACCTTTCAATACGCCCGCCCTCATCACTCATCGACCACCAATCATCAACTCCACTCACTCATCATCGCGCCCGCATACGCTGCCATCGCCCGACTCAACCCATCATTGTCGCCCACCGCTCCGACCACCCATCACGCCCATCAACCATCGCATCAACTCATCGCCACTCAGTCAGCATCGCCCACCACCTCATCGCATATCGCATCCATCGCTGCGCCCGTAATAAATAATCATCACTCGCCCATCGACTCACCCACGCCCATCGTCATCGGTAATCGACCGCACTGGGCCACTCGATACCCACTCATCGCCCATCATCATCGGTACTCACTCAGCCTCGCATCAGCCCGTAATCATCATCACTGCGCCCATCGCGCTCACCGCCCATCGACCATCAACCGGTAACTCAAACTCGAACCATCGCCATCCACACTCAACCACGCAATAAGCTGATCATCGCCATCTCACCCATCGGTACCATCGGTAGCCATCGACCGCCGAAACAAAACTAACTCATCACTCAATCAATCCGCTGACCTGTCATCAATCGCGCTGACTAACAAACCATCATCCATCATCACTGCCCACTCAACCACTTCACCACCATGCTTCGCCCCATCCCTATCGCCTGGCCGCCTAATCACTCACTCGACCATCGATCACTCACATAATCACTCACTATCCATCATTCATCGACCACTCACCACTATCGGTACATCAACCACTCAACCATCATCATTATCGCCAACTCGGTACCATCGACCACTCGACCATCACTCAATCACCATCACCTCATCATCGCGATCAGCCCTCAACTCAGCACTCGCTCCGCCCCATCACCTCACCCATCAACCCACTCGCCACTCAACACTCAACCACCCACTCACACAAACACTCATTCTTCCAATCCTTCACTGGCCTACTTCGCTCCCTACCTTCACCCCCTTCCATCACCTCCTCCGTCGGCGTCCTTCGCCCAAATCCTCATTTTCCACCTTCCCCCTCCACCTCCTATATCCCCTCTCTCAACCCATCTTCCTCCCTCATCGCCCTCTTTCGCCCCTTCACCTCCCTCGCCCTGTCCACCCGCCTCCCTCACTGCCTCGCTGCCTCCTTGACCTAAAATCGCCTTTCTCCAAATTCCCCCAAATCGCCCTGAAAATGTGCCATTTCACCTTCTTTTTAATTCTTACAATTGCCTATTAACCTCCTCAAAATGCCTCTCAAATTGACAAGCTTTCTAAATCCCTTAACTCTCATCAGGCTTCCAAGAAGTCTCTTGGGACACTGGAAGAGCTTTGTGGATATGCTAAGCAACTTGAAAGTCGACAAACTAATAGTCCATTACCTTTATTAAACAATTTGTGTTCAGGTCTCCAAACATTCTTAGGGTACGATGAAACTTCCAAAGGCTACTCGGGCTCCGGCATCGTGTACTCGGACCTTGACAGGCTCTGCGACGGGGTGATGTCTTTCCTTCATGGTGTTCTCAGTGGAGTAAAGGATGATGATAACGTCACAACTTATGATAAAGATGTTCAAGCCCCTAAAATAGGTAAGCTTATTAGTGATTTACATTCTTATTCAGGTACCGGGCCGGAAGACTTCGAGACGGCGTTAGCCGATGTGAGCTGGTGGATTACTAAATATTTTGGTGAATTGCAGACAAAAACAGACGCAGTGTCAAACGCATTAAGCGACCTAATTAATAATAAAATTGGAAAAGAATCTATGAAATCCGTTGCCGCTAAAAATGATGTGAAACTCAATGAGCAGTTGGCCAATTGGACGTCTGTTCTCGAGAACATTGAGACAAATGTAAACAGCATTGAAGATAAAAACGTCAGTAAGTTAGATAAGGTTTTGAAACAAAGAATTGGTAGTGAAATGAGCGGCATTAGGAATGCAGTATGGATGTTGAGAGACTCAGCCAAAGAGAAGGACTTCGTGGGACAGGTTAGTAAAGTGGACGAGCAATTGGAAGGGCAGAAAAGTAACGTGCTGGCGTTGATAAAAAATGAATCTGACAGCCTTCAAGCTAGGTTGGAGAATGAGTTTGGGAATATCTGGAATGGAATTAAGAATCTGAATTATATGAAAAAAATGCGATTTGAAAAAATAAGCAAGGCTCATAAGTCGGTGGAGGATTTGTTGGGGAAATTCGACGTAGAATATACAGATCAACTGATTGGCAAAATTGAGTATCTACGATGGAATTTGGATCAACTGACTAACGATGATTCTACCCTGCAGAAGAATTTCACGAAAGTTGACACTATGGTCAAAGCCCTGGTTGAGAATGTGCAAAAGGATTTGGCGACGCTGAAAGGGAAGATTCACGGGCAGATGAAGGGTTATGTGACTAAGTATGTGCAGGCGGTGCAAGGAGAAGTAACGAAGATTAAAAAGGAAGTTCTTGGTACGACAGGCAAAGGGACGGGAAGTGGGATATATCACGATTGGAGTTTGCTTAAAAACTACATTGAACGGCTCGTTAATGGAATTTATAAGGAGGAACAAAAGGCTAGAACAACTGAAAAATCTGGAAGGCTTTACGTTATAGTTAACGGGGTTAAAAAGTATGCCGATTTGTTCACTAAGACCAAGTTTGGAGATATTGTGAAGGGCTGGATTGAGGACATTTTGGGGAATAACGGTATGGTTAAGCATTGGGTGCGAGAGTATGTTACGGATTCCGAAAACAGGGATAAGCTGCGAACTAAGTTGAACATTGAAAACACTGGATTTAAGGCACCGACGGCGAAAGCAATCGCAACTAAAATTAAGGATGCTCTTAGTGGACAAATTGCTGAAGCAAGTGCGGAGGATGAAAGCCAAATTGAAAATAAAGACATTAAAGGACAAATGGAATATGTCCAGGTTGTTTGTAATAGATTTGCAAATGCTCTGGGGAAGGAGCTTGAGAAGAGCATACTGCAGAGAAATTTTAGTGTTGGAGAAATTACCCAGCAGATTAATAAGACACTTGCATATAGTGGCGATGAACCTAAACACACTCTTAAGCTCCAGAATGCCGTCTACGCAACACTCACAGCTCTTCAGTCTAAGGCCAGACAGACTGCGAATGAACTTGAATTGTATCTCAACGATAAGTTTACCAACCTCAGCAAAAACGTCCACGGGGCTATAAGCTATGTCAAATCAATTGGGGATCAATTTGCAAATGGCCAAGTCAGCATAGGAAAAAATATTACGAAGGCCCTACAAGACGTGCACCCTGTAATTACGGACCTTGATACTCATCTTCAACAGGCAACCACAGAATCATCCAAACCCGTAATCCCTCCCTACTCACCATCCGTAACTCCTACCCCATCCGACAACCTCGAAGAAAAGATCAAGGGCATACTGAACCAGGAGATTGGAACGACTTCAGGTGAGAAAATACAAAAAACATTTACGACTGGATTCATGGAAAAGTTCGACGGCGCGGAGAAGCAACTTAAAATTGCCGTACCTCTGATCGGAGAGCAACTTAACGCTTTGAAGGAGGTTGCAAAATCCGTTGGAGAGAGAAAAGGCGAAGCTCAGACGCTTATGAACAACCTAAAGGGTGAAATATTTGAAAATAGCAATGCACTGTTCCATGCCGTAAAAGAGGCGGATGACACTCTGACTAGGTCTATCAGTGCGCTAGTCGATGCTTACGATACCGCCCGTGAGACTCTGAAGAAAGCCATTCAAGAACTCCAAAAGAAGCTCACCACCGCCGCGGAAAATGCCTTCAATATTATCACAACTCAGGTGCAAAAATTGTTTGCGAACCACAAAATGGCCGACCTAAAATCCCTCCAATCTCTAGTCCAAACCCAAAAAACTGATATCGAGCGTATCATAAGACTCGACAAATTCTCCGGCGTCAAAGGCTTACTCAAGCAATTGAAAGACGACATAAGGAGGAAATCTAATAACGAAAATAAATTTGACGCTCTGAAAAATGCACCAAACCACAATGACTTCAAGTCCTTCGTGGAAAAAATGCAGACATACTTCACGCTCATCTACGACTACGTGAAATACCAAATGGATGAATATGTCAAAAAGCAGTCTCCCTCAGAGGCGTCAGATGTAATTGCCAAACTGGGAAGAGTGAAGGACAAATTGGACAAAACGCTCGAAGGCCTTACAACCTCCAACCATTTCGACTACACGTTCAAAACAAACGTAGACGCTTTAAACAGCGCGCTTCAATATTTCGCGCCTCTCAAGTTTGGCGGCCCGTGCACTGTCCTGCTGGACGTTGTGAAGGAAGGCGTGCAGGCGTTAGCCGGGCAACTTGGAAAGGCGTATGTGAATAAGTATGATGGGCATGAGGATCAAAAAGAGTTTAACAGTTTCGTGAGCCCTACATCTAAAAATGATGAATTGACACCTTATGCTACAAATTTGGCTAAGGTTTTGCTCACCTTAATGGAGGGGCTGAGAAAAGATGTGTTTGATTTGCAAAACGAATGTGGAAAGACATCTGGTGGATGGGGGAACATGAACATTATTTTAGGTAATAAGCTTGGAGACTGGTTTAAGAACCGTGGTTACCTTGTCTCCAAGTTAAAACAAGACGGTGAGCTGCGGAACCACGATGAGTGCAAGGGTGAAAAAATTAAGAGTGAACTTCTTACAAAGAAAATTACAGAAGGTTCCACAAGTCCGATCATAAAGGCGTGGAAGGAAACAAACAAAGAGAATCCTGAGGAAATCTCTCTCTACGACATGGTCGAATTCCTTCGTGAATTTCTTCGAAAGTACTATAATGTATGTCAACATATACATATCGATAAGCCAAAAGCACCGACTAATATCTACCAGATGATGCAATGGCTCTCCGGGTTATACTTTAATCCGATGCTTAAGAAACTGGATGATCAGTTTAATGGACTGTTCGGCGAAGCGAATCAGTTAGATATAGCCGTTCCAGACTCAAAACACTACACAATTAATTCACCTCTCAAAGCTAGCAACTTAGCCGATGCACTCAAACAAGTTTGTCTACTCTCGCAACTTTCACTAGTCGCCTTCCTCGGCAATGGCCACGCGGATGGCCGGTACGCTTGCGACTTCCGCACAAACTTAGACAAATTAAATTATCCCTCTAACCCATCTGCGTGCTTCGACATGTTAGTAGACATCTTGCATAGAGTGTTCTATCAATTGCGTTTCCTACATAGCCAGTGTTCCAACAGCCGTAGTAGGGGCGGGTGGCAAGACTGCTGGTATGGTCAGGGAGTTGGCGGCTCCAGTTGGCAGTGCAACGAGAAACAATGTGCCAACCAAACACCTAACCAAAGCGCTGACCAAACGTGTGACCAACACCCTAACTGCGGTGTCAAATCACCGTTACAATCATTCCTCGAAGATGGTCTTCCTGGTTTCCTGCCACATCAATTTAAGTCTCCAGGTTGTAAACTCACATGTAACATGAGCAACCATAGAGGTATTCCATGTCTCACGCCGATGGGTTTCGGTGATATTAGCTTTGCAGCGTCGCATACGAAAACAGGTTCGCATCTCAGGGCAGAACTTGACCACCTTTGCGGCGGTGCAGGGAAATCACTCAGTAAGCTGTGCGGTATGCTTGACTGCCTGCTTCGCGTAGCACCGCAGACACTCGGTGACATGTTCGGGTTTTACTATAATTTCCTTGCTAATTGGAATTCCGGTATAGAACACAGACAGACAGCATTCAACGATGCCGTTAAAAAAGCCAATTTCTGGAATGACGAAACAAAGTTGAACGTTGCGTCCTTACAGGCCAGCAAGGTGCATCCTAGTAACCATGACAAAGGAGACCTCTTTAGTATTACAGATTGTAATCCCACGTCAACATCCGGCCTACCATGCGGCCGATACTTGCATCCCATTACACTGTACACCCGATCCGTTTTTACGGAAAAGCACGCTGACAACTATCTTTCATGGGTAACATACATTACCGAGACGTTCCTTGCGTTGCTCCACCAATTGTATGAGTCTTGCAAAAAATGCGAAACGCCGGGCACCAGATGCTGCGATAAGGGCTGTGAGGAGAAATGTCCTGTGAAAGCTGCTTACGCATCTGACGAGCCGTCCAAGCAACTCAATGGCCAAAAGCATACTACAAATTGCCATTCCATCGTCAAATGCCCGTATATGCATCCGACGTTGTATCAGTATGGATTCACCTTTGGTAGTCCATCTGGACTAAGTGGACACGATAAGGACATCAGGAAGAGACGTACATGTAGAGATTTCTGTGAAGCATTGAAAAGAGTAATTGGTGACAATTGCGTGCTTGTCAAACTCATCGGAGAGATTGACGAGTTCATGAAAGAAATCAGATGGCCATTTATGCTAACACTAACAACCCTCTGGTCGCTCTCGCTCCTGTACCTGCTGCACATCGCCGTCGTCCGCCTCGACGTCCTGAGGATACGCTCCCACCTGAGATCACCCTCAAGCCACCGCATCGCCGCGCAGTCCCTCCTCGCCGCCGCACGCGTCAAGGCACTCGCCAACGTCAAGTACTTCTCACCATAATCGTGCCTTCACCCACTCACCTAACCACTCAACCACCCACTCAACCACTCACCTAATCACTCACTCACTCACCCACTCACTCACTCAACCACTCACTCAACCACCCACTCACCCACTCTCTCACCCACTCACCCAGTCACCCACTCACTCTCTCACCCACCCACCACCAACTCACCCACCTAAACCCCACTCACTCAACCACTCACTCAACCACTCAACCACTCAACCACTCAACCACTCAACCACTCACTCAATCACCACTCTCTCACTCACTCACTCACCCACTCACTCACTCAACCACTCACTCAACCACTCACCCACCAACTCACTCACTCAACCACCCACTCAACCACCCACTCAACCACTCACCCACTCAACCACCCACTCACTCACTCAACCACCTAATCACTCAACCACTCACCCACCAACTCACTCAACCACCCCCACCACCCACTCAACCACTCACTCACTCACCCACCCACCCACCCACTCAACCACTCACTCACCTACTCAACCACCCTCCTTCACTGGTCGCTTCGCTCCCTCCTCCCTCACCCCCTTCCATCACCTCCTCCGTCGGCGTCCTTCGCCCAAATCCTCATTTTCCACCTTTACCCTCCACCTCCGAAATCGCCCTACCTCCACCCATCTTCCCCCTTCATCGCCCTCTCTCGCCCCTTCACCTCCCTCACCCTGTCCACCCACCTCCCTCGCTGCCTCCTTGACCTAAAATCGCCTTTCTCAAAAAATTCTAAAATTCTCCAAAAGTGTCCATTTCACCTCCTCTAATCGCCTTTCAACCTTTTTTCCCACTTTCTTCTCTCACCTCTTTTGACCTCCCTCCTCGGCCTCCTTCGTCGGCCTCCATCGACTGGCTGATCCAGATTAAGCATGGGAATGGTCCGGGTGATCAAGGTCTTGAGCCTTTGGCTGATGCTTTGAAAAAGTTGATTGGTGATGCAATTAAAAATGCTACAACTTCCCTCTCTCACAAATCCTCCAAGCTCTCTTGCTCCCCAAATCCACATGATCCTCTCTCCTACTGTAGTCAGCTTGATAGGGACATTAAGTCCAAAAATGAAGAACTTCAAAAAGCTAAAAACACTAATAAAACTTCTGAAATATCCTCTTTAGAAGCTGAAATACAGCGCTATAAATCCAACAAAGATGACTGCACTAAGTCCCATTTCATGGATGAGCAGCGTATGTCCTCCCTTGAGGCGGAAGTGCATCATGGCATTGATGTTATTGTGAAGCTTACACAGTTTAGTGGCGGTGAAGATAGCGTTAAAACACTAATTGAGAAAGAAATTGCGAGGCTTGAAAAGCATAAAAAAGACTGTGAAAATTGTAAAAAGTCTCCGCAGCCTCATGCCTCTGCTGACTGTCCTCAGCATAAAAAGCTTGATGAGCTTGAAGAGAAACTTGAGACATTACAACAGAATAATGATAAAAGTCCACATGATTTATTAAATAACCTGTGCTCTGGCTTGGAGAAGTTCCTTGGTTACCAAGAAACTTCCAAAGGCTACTCGGGCGAGGGCATCGTGTACTCGGACCTTGACAGGCTGTGTGACGGGGTGATGTCTTTCCTTCATGGAGTTCTTGAGACGGTGAAGGATGATGATAACGTTACAACATATGATGTTAAAGACAGTAATAACAATATTACTTCACTTATTAAGCTACTTGAAAATAGTGTAGGTAAAGGCCGTCAGGCCTTCGCGGAGGCCGTGGCTAAGGTAAGTGAGTGGTTGAAAAAACATGGTGCGCAGGTGGACCAGAAGACTGGCGAAGTGACTGAAGGATTATCTTCACTTATAGGTAAGTTAAATAATGGGTCTAATTCTGTTGCAGGTGTGAATTACTACAATCAAGTCAACGAGCAAGCCGGCGAGCCACTTGCCAGTCAACTCCAGACTTGGAAGCAAACACTATACCAGATTGATACAGATGTTACTAACATTAACACTAATAATAGTAAATTAGATAATGCGTTAAAACGTAGTGTAATGCATGAGATGAGTGTTGTGAGTGAGGCCGTTAAGATGTTGAATACAAGTTCTTGGGGTAACCATCTCATGCTGCAGGTGGGAAATGTGGACACGGCGTTAGATGCACAGAAAACCCGTATGATTAACAAGATAAAAGAGCAATATGACAGCGTTCAGAAAACATTGAAGAATGAATTCTTCAATGTTGTGAGCGTAATAAATAATTTAAACAAGGCAAAAGCAAAAAAAATTAAACACATACGAGGCGCCATTGATACTGTCAAGGTTCACTTAAAGACATTTGACGCGGACTATCGCGAGAAGATTCAGAAGCTTTTTAACGACATCAGTGAGAAACTAGTGGAGCTGAATCCGAATAGCACACATATTGTAGGGGACGGCTCAGGAAATTCCAGATTAAAACTGGATGTAGAAGACGTCAAATCACGTTTACGTGGTATCGACAACAAGCTTGCAGAGAATGTCAAGCAGCTGCAGAATTGGATGGTCGCAGCACTTAGGAGTATCCATAAAATCCAACAAGAGGTTAAGAAAATCATAGATAGGGAGGTTGGGGAATCTAAAAAGACGGAGATTGACCAGGCGGCGCAGAATATCAGGACGCAGACTACTCAGCTGCATAATCAATATGAAGGGGTGAAGAGACAGTTAGCAGAACAGGTGAACAAGGTAAAGGCAATGGGTGGGTCTGATGCCCCGTTAAATAGGCTGCAGAATCTTGAAAGTCAACTTGCGGTACCGAATGATAATGTGAGCAGTATTAAGAGCTATTTAAGTTGGGACGGCCGCGATGATCCAATCATTGCTCTCACAAATAAAATTGAAGAAAACGTAAAACAGCATATTAGGAGTCAGATTCTGACAGGCATCCATGGGCAACTCGGCACGATCCTTGATGGTAGCAAGAAGCCGCAGGATAGTGGCCTCCGGGGTATTAAGCAGAAAGTTGAAGAGTATGCCAAGACTATTGGAGATAATATGCAGAAAACTACGGTTCAAATGTGGCTGAACAGAATATTGGACAAGGATCCAGTAAATGGGTTACTTGGAAAGTATTTCAGATATAACAGCGGCGATTTCAAAGGTGCAAAAATGTTCACGAAAGCGTCTGATTTACATATTCCAATTAAAGAAGGGATTGCGAAAGTGCTTCAGGAGGATGTTTATAACACGGTTAGGTTGTCGTACGCTGTGGACACTGGGGGCAATGTAAAGAGTGATTTGACATCACTAAACAATTTCCTGCAACAGTATGCTACTCAGCTTGATAAACAACTCCTGACTGCTACGGGTACAACATCATTCGTCAAAAAAATCGCGGATAAAATTGAGAGTGATGAGGGGTTGCATATAGATCCACTTAAGAGAATTGGCCCTAACTCACCACTGCAATTACCACTCATAGATGCTATTAGATTTATATTGCAATTTATATCTGCATCTGCAAGAAATCTTGGAGAAGAAATTGCATCATTGGCCAACAACAACAGCGGTGTCAATATCGGCACCAGCATAGACGGTGCTCTTGGTGTCGCTGAGCCGCTTGAAAACCAGATTAAGGAGGCAATCACAAATAATGACCCCTTGTCCTCGGGAACAAGTATCGCCATCCAAGTTGCTGGGATTGCTGGGAAAGTCGGCCCCGCTGCTATCGACACAGAACTAGCCAAACTATTGAAAGCTACAGCAGATAAAGCGATCATTAAACTCAAAGATGAAATTCAAAATACGGTTATTAGTAAACTGAGCAGTGTGGATAATCAAGTTAGTGGTTTCGAAATGCAAGCCTCCTCCGCAAAATTGTTGCTGGAAACCAAAGCCCAAGAAGTCGAAAACAAACTTGGTGAGCTAATGACCGAGATATCCAATCACGCCAGAGACAATATTAAATTTTTTCTAGATCATTTAAGAGAAGGTAATATCTGTAGCAGTCTCAACGCAATCAAGGATGAGCTTAACACCCAGCAATCCAACGTAAACAGTGTCATAAGCAATGGCATCCACGAAGTCCTTCAAAAAACCAAGCAGCTTGAGAACGTGCCTCAGAAGGTTAGGGAAGGCAGAGAGGCTGCAGAGAAATTGATGGACACGTTGAAAAGAGAACTGGAGAATAGGATTCATGACGTCGAAGTGAATGTCAATGAAGCCGAAAAGGAGTTGACAGTTGCCATTGATACCCTTACCAATGCCGTGCTTCACGCACAACAAGCGGTCACACAATGCCTCTCGGAGCTGAAAGAAAATCTAATCGATACAGCCGAAAGTTCATTTGATGTAATCACCACCCATGTCCGCTCCCTCTTCACCCACCAAAAACTCGCCGACCTCTCCGCGCTGCACAAACTGGTCGAACGCCAACACAAAAAGATTAACAAGATCATCGACGAAGACAAGGCGTCTGGAATCAAGGGCCTGCTGTCAAGAATGCAAATTCACCATCCAACGCTTTCCGAAGTTCCACGTTTAGAGGAATTTACAAAGGCATCGACGACGACGAAATGGTACATGGATTATGTCACGGAGTACATTAAATACCAACTCCTTCCAGACACCAAGCCCCCAACCCCTACCACTCCAGTCCCACCTCCAATTTCCAGCGGCGGTTACAAAGCGCGGCCGGCAATGGCAATCGCTGCGCAGGTTGATAGTAATTATTATAAAGGACGTGCTGGAATGGCTCATAATACTACGTACACCGGTGCTGTCAAGTCCCCAACTTCCACCCCTACCCCAAACCAACACTCTCCCTCCCCGTCCGCCAAGAATCCCATTGAGAAATTCTTCGATGACCTCAAGCTTCACGCCGACAGACTCTTCGGTACGCTTTCCATGGGTCGCTTCAGTAATCAGTCTGCCACTAATCGTGACGCATTCACCAACTTCCTCAACTCGATGCGTCCTGAGAAGTTCGCACAGCTCAACAGTCCCCTACTTGACATCCTAAAATCTGGCCTCGAGTCTTATCTGAAGGAACTGAGCTACGCATATGTGAACGCATACGAGGGACATCCATCTCTAGTTGACTTTACGTCGGAGGTTGATGGGAAGAATTGCGCTAAGACATTTTTGTCTTTACTGGAGACTCTGTTCGATGACTTAGGTAGGCTGAGTGCTGGATGTAAGAAACGTTTTTCCAAGAGTACAATTAGTCGGTCTTCAGATCTGGGAGAACTATTTAAACGTTATGGTTACCGTGTCGCCAGCCACTCTAAGTCACAAGATGGCGAGTTGCTGTGTAAGAATACTATGAATGGTGAGAAAGTTCATGAGAAGCTGCACGAGAAGAAATTTACGAGCAGCGACAAAATTGAACATCTCAAGGAGTGTGAATCCAATGAAGTGGATGTAAATTCTAAAAAGAAGAAACATGATAACTTCGACATCTTTGACTTACTGAAATGCCTTCACCGTCACCTAGAAGAGTATTACTCCGTCGGTCACATAGCAACTTTCACCTCCATGAAACAACCGTGCAGTGTTAATGAAATGCTTTCTTGGTTCTCAGGTCTGCCGTATAACGCTGCATATTCCACTCTATTGCGTGACGGTTTCACTAGCCTCCTGCAGAAGCCTAAGCCCAAAACCATACAGGGCGGCGACGAATTTGAAGTAGAATTAGATGATCTGAAGTCCTACTACATAGATGCTTATCCAAACAGAATCACATATGATCACATAAATACTGCACTCGACCATATTTGTTCGATATCCTATGACATCTTGACGTCAATCGCCGGTCACGGCGACGAATACACAACGTACGCCGCTGACTTCTGCACCAACCACCTTAGCCTATCATATCCTTCAATTCCATCTCAATGCCTGGATATGCTTCTTGACATTTTGCGTAGACTATTACCACAGCTTCGATATTTGTTCAACCGATGCAAGCTAAGTACTAAGCATAGCGGTTGGTCGCAATGCCTCTACGGCAGGGATGTCTTCACTACCAAATCACCATGTAATAATCATTCAAATAGCAAACCAAACAGCCGACCAAAGTGCCAACCTACGTGCCAGGCAAACACAAAACCAAATTGCCAACCAACTTCACCTTTAATGAGTTACCTAACGGACTCGTTACCTGGTCACTTACCTCATGACGTTTCTTCTATTGGCTGTCGCTCTGTATGTTCAACATGTCCAAATGGCAAGAAAGGCATGCCATGCTTAACACCTCTAGGCTTCAGAGGTTTCTCTGGGTCTACGCGTAAGGGTGAGGAGATATGTGATATTCTGGACAAATTCTTCTCCAACTTCTATTTGTCATCCCTATTCTGTCTCTCACCAAAGACCCCGGCTTCATTACCTGAGCAGTTCGGGTTTGTTTTATCACTAGTAAGTGGTTGGAATAGTCCCAAGACAGAAGCTACAAGTCGCATTAAGAAGTCCGTTGAATCATCCATTGAGAGTGTGTCCATTAACCTGTATGATCAACCGACGAAACTAACAGCTGCACTTACTAATGCGTACCGTAATACACACAGTAACCATGGAGGGAAGGACCATCTTCCTGCATACTCTGATGTGTATAGTCTGGCGATGACGTCAGCATGTAATGATCGTGTCGGAAAAGCGTTGTGCGCTCCGTATGTTGCATCACTCTGCGGCGATACGTATGCTTACTTTGCTGAGAAGCACTGTAACACATACCTCTCATGGGCCGTCTACCTCCCGTGGACGTTCTGGGATTTACTCAACAATTTATATAACGCTTTCTGCAACATCACTTGTGCAGACTGGGGCTGCCGTGGATGTCTCAGAGGAGACAAGTGCAGGAGTGGCAAGCATGGCGTCGTTGAGGATGAGAAACAAGATGCCATTTGCCAGTGTGATTCCATAGTATCCTGCAGAGGCGTGGCACCGACGCTCTACCAGTATGGATTCAGCTTCGGCGAGGCGTCGACGTTGAATAGTGGTGACACAGCGAAGAAGTGTAAGGATTTCTGTAGTCAATTGAAGAATGTGCTGAAATCGGAATACTTCCAGACACTGTTCAAGGAGTGCGACAATTTCCTGAGAGAGATCAGATGGCCATTTATGCTAACTTTGTTAGCCCTCTGGTCGCTCTCGCTCCTGTACCTGCTGCACATCGCCGTCGTCCGCCTCGACGTCCTGAGGATACGCTCCCACCTGAGATCACCCTCAAGCCACCGCATCGCCGCCCAGTCGCTTCTCGCCGCCGCACGCGTCAAGGCACTCGCCAACGTCAAGTACTTCTCACCATAATCGTGCCTTCACGTGTGATCTGTGTATCACCCACTCACCCACCCACTCACTCAACCACTCACCCACTCAACCACCCACTCAACCACTCACTCACTCACCCACTCAACCACTCACCCACCTACTCACCCACCTACTCACCCAACCACCCACTCACTCACTCAAACACTCACTCACCCACCCACTCACCTAATCACCCATCCACTCACCCACTCAACCACTCACTCACTCAACCACTCACCCACCCACCCACTCACCTACTCAACCACCCACTCACCTAATCACTCACTCACCCACTCAACCACTCAACCACTCACCCACTCAACCACCCACTCACTCACCCACTCAACCACATACTCACCCACCCACATACTCACTCACCCACTCACCCAACCACTCATTCACCCACTCAACCACTCACTCACCCACCCACTCACCCACTCACTCAACCACCCACCCACTCACCCACTCAACCACCCACTCACTCACCCACTCACTCACTCAACCACTCACCCACTCACCTAATCACCCACATACTCACTCAACCACTCACCCACCCACTCACCCACTCAACCACCCACTCAACCACCTACCCACTCACCCACTCACCTAATCACCCACTCAACCACCCACCCACTCACTCAACCACTCAACCACTCACCCACTCAACCACCCACACACCTAATCACCCACCCACTCAACCACATACTCAACCACCCACTCAACCACCCACTCAACCACTCAACCACTCAACCACCCACTCAACCACTCACTCACCTACTCAACCACCCACCCACCCACTCACCCACCCACTCACCCACTCAACCACCCACTCAACCACTCACCCACCCACTCAACCACCCACTCAACCACCCACTCAACCACTCACATACTCACTCAACCACTCAACCACTCACTCAACCACCTACTCACTCAACCACTCACCCACCCACTCAACCACCTACTCACTCAACCACCCACTCACTCACTCAACCACTCAACCACCCACTCACCCACTCAACCACTCACCCACTCAACCACCCACTCACCCACCCACTCAACCACTCACATACTCAACCACTCACCCACCCACCCACTCACCTCCTCCTTCACTGGTCGCTTCGCTCCCTCCATCACCCCCTCCATCACCTCCTCCGTCGGCGCCTTCACCCAAATCCTCATTTTCCACTTTCTCCCTCCACCCCCAAAATCGCCTTACCTCAACCCATCCTCTCCCTCATCGCCCTCTTTCGCCCCTTCACCTCCCTCGCCCTGTCCACCCACCTCCCTCGCTCCCTCACTGCCTCCTTCACCTATAATCGCCTTTCCTTAAATTCCCCCAAATCGCCCTGAAAATGTGCCATTTCATCTTCTTTAATTTTTATCTAACCTTTTTTTCCACTTTCTTCACTCACCTTAATTGTCTTGGACATTACTCCTTCAATAACTCTGCTAAGTCCCACTGTCAGTCTCTTAACGACGAACTTGACTTGCTTAAAAATTCTGATAACTCACAAAATGACTCTAAAATCGACGAACTTAAATCCCAATTGAAAGATCATGTTGCCAAGTATCATTCCCTTTCTGAGTCTGACAGGACTGCCCAGCTTAAGGACATCCACTCCAGGATGGTGTCTCTTGCTGAGCTCAGTGGGAAGCTTGGCCAATTTATTGGCCAAAGTGACGCTGTTACTAACGCCATTAAAAATGGTATTGACAGCATTATTGACAGTGATAATGAATTCAAAAGCCTTAGAAACTCTCCGTCTCCGCCTGCGCAGTCTTCCGCTGCCGTGTCTGCTGAGCCTATAAATGATGTGAAGCTTAGTAAGAAAATTCAGCAATTTGAAGAGAAAATAAAGCTTCTTGAATCTAAGAAAAATGGCCAAAATCCTCCCCTCTCCTCTGAAGATTCTCGCCTTTTATCCTCCTATCAGTCCAAGTTGGATGCTCTTCAGAAGCTGAGGAGCCTTAATGACTCCTTGAATTCTCTTAGTAGTAATAATGATAACAATTGTAAAAACCTTTTAGATAACCTCTGCACAGGCCTCGAAAAATTTCTCGGCTACGAGAAGGGGAATTACACCGGCTCCGGCATCGTGTACTCGGACCTTGACAGGCTGTGTGACGGGGTGATGTCTTTCCTTCATGGAGTTCTTGAGACGGTGAAGGATGATGATAACGTTACAACTTATGATAATGATAAGTCTAATGACATTAATAATGTTCTTGACAATTTACATAATAGTGTAGGTAAAGGCCGTGAGGCCTTCGGTGAAGCCGTGACTCAGGTAAGTGAGTGGTTGAAAAAACATGGTGCGCAGGTGGAGGAGAGGACTAATAAAGTGACTACGGAATTAGGTGAGTTGATTAATAAATTATCATCTGGTGCAGGTAAATACTACAAGGAAGTTCAAGGGTCGGACCTTTTCCCACTTGCGTACCAGTTAGAGGCTTGGATGAGAACCGTCGAGTCCGTCGACTGGGACATTAGAGACATTAGCGACAACCACAGTAATATATTAGATAGCACACTTAGAATACAATTAGCGCACGAAATAGCTCCAGTTAAGAAAGTAGTGGAGCACCTTAAGGGTGTGGCCAAAAATATGACAGACGGCAACAAGGTGAAGCACGTAGACGATGAAATTGCTGCAAAGGAAAATGAGGTCACTCAGCTAATTACTGAAAAATGCCAACAGCTCCTGAAAGCCTTGACAGAGAGATTTGACCTCATTGAAGAGAAAACCAGGAAATTCGGAACAGAGCGTGCCGAGCAGTTGGGACCTTTGTTGCAGTCTGTCAAACAGCTGGTTACGGATGTTGGCCACGCGGAAAAGAGCGCGCAAGCCTTGGCGCAGCATTATGATAGAGACATTCTCAATGGGTTACAGACAATAAGTGGGAAGGTAAGTAACCTTGCAACGGGGATATTTCGGCCGGTCTTGGTAACGTATTCTCAACTGTGAGTGTAGAGTTGGAGAGGCTGAAAAGCAAAGTTAGATGAGATTGGAAGGCTTTCTATCAGTGTTCAGCAAAAGGTAATAGCGGTTTGGATCAAATTATGGACGATTTGGATCGGGCGAAAGAATCGCTTAGATGGATATTAGAGGACAAATAGGTCATATATGAGAGATGAGTTGGGTAATAAAATTAAAGGGTGGTTGCTCTGCTTGACTAAAGAGATCGCGGGTGTTGAAAAAAACATGACGGTTCTCTATATGATGTTGTCACCGGAGTTAAGAAGTATGCTGCGAAGTTCATCAAA